TCCACCACCTCGCCTTCCCAGCCTGTCCTTCCTAAAGAGCACATAGCCCTCCATGACAGCGCTCCAGTCATTAGAGCTATCCCACCACGTTTCTGTGATTCCTATGAGATCGTGGTGCTGGGATCGCACACAGATCTCCAGTTCATCTTGCTATTTAGTGACGTCTATGCACAGAAAATTCTGGGGAATTTGACACAGTTTTTTATCTTCATCTTACAAAAAAAATTCATCTCAGCATCCTCATCCTTATGAAGGTGCTGACATAATACAGCTATAATAAAGACAAATGCATATTAGCTTGCAAATAATGTGTCTGCTCTTAAATCCAAGAAAGAATTTTTTCCACTAAATGGATGCTGAATTTAAACTGCCTAGAGCCAAATGAAATCAAGCATTTTCAATAATTTAGGATGTAAGATGGCTGTGAGAGTTGCAGACAGCCTTAGTACTGCTAAGAAACTCTCCTGGGAATGTCTCATGCATGTAACCAAGCATTAGATCTTACAGTGCCCTAATTTGTTGCCCATGTCATCTGGGAAGGTGCACCTGAGTGCTCTTACTATTTTTTAGAGACATTTTATTTAGACTTCTCACTACATTTGGCACTGTACCAAAGCAGTTTGTATCAAAGCCCCCATTTCATTCTTGATAATCAAAGTTTAGTGGGCTTCATCTTCATTTTAGACCTTATTCTCTTTTCTTACAGCCACACTGTGCTTCTTGTACACATGGATGTTAAGACTTTTCCTGCCAGTGCAGGCAGCTGAAGTTCTTGTCAAGGAGCTCATGTGGTATTTTTAGAATTTCATCCACTTTGGCACTCATATGCATGTACATCCAATGCATTCTTGATCCTGGCAAATCCATTAAAGATATTTCTGCAAGTATCATTTTCCTAATCTTTTGGTTTGTATCCATTATCATTTATCTGTTACTGCACTAGTCCTCTCTTTTCAGTTGCTTCTCTTCACATTCAAAGTCCTTCAGAGTTTGTTATGCCCTGAGTTATTCAGACTCACAGAATATCAGGAAATCAAGCATGTTGCCAGTCACAGTTTTCTTTCCAGGGCCTTGATTTTCAAACAACTTTTTTCAGTGTGATCCAACCAGTCCCTTTATACTTGGAAAAAGTAAACATTAACCTGTCTTACTATTTTCATTCAAATTATCCATGTAAACATTACTTGGCTGTGGTGTCTACCAAATCCTGACAATGACTAAGCTGCCCATTAGCTAAAACTACTCTCCATCATTACACTGACTGTCCCATGATCTTGTTGTGCTCCCTTCTACCTTCCCTTCAAAACTGTTGACTGGATCAGTATCAACAACAACTTCAAGATATCAGCTTTTATATACTGGGCAGTGCTGATATCTTCTCCGTTGATTTTTCATCATCTGTATCTGATACACGTGCTTATCCTATTTAGGGTTAGTCATAGCTAGGAAAGAAGTGTGGTTTGTTTTTAAGGCAAGATATGCGGACATAGCTCAGAAGCTTTTATCCATCGTTAGAATCACAACTACGGCATGTTACAGTTCTCTCCAAGGACCTTATTGTAGCTTTTGAATAGGAGAGGGATTGAAGGAAAACTTAGTGGAAATCATTATGTCCAAGGTCTGAATGTCAAGTGCAGGTACTCATCAGAGGCTATAGAAGCCATCAAGGAAGGACAGAAGGAGTGAATGGATTGTCCTGAGCACCAGGTAGATCACAGAAGTGAGTCAGTCTCAGGAGATGAGCCACAGTGTCAAGTGCTTCATTGCCAGTTGAAGGGTTTCTGTTTCTGATTAACTGATTCTTTCATTCTCATCGAGACTTGTGTCATATTTTTCAGAACAAGTAAGGATATGCATTTTTGTGAACTTTTTCAATTATCAATTGTATTTTGTTTTAAATCTCCCTTTTGATTCTAATTGAATACCATACCATTCTACTTTCTGACATAAATTCTTAGTAGTAGCTTGAATTGATGTAGCTTGAATTAATTTATCCTTAAAAGCCGGATGCATTTCAGCAAAGTGGTTTCAATGAGCATTGCTCTGCGTGTCTACACGCTATAAACTCGGTACTCTCACCCTGCAGGTCACAGTGCTGTTGACATTACCAAGGTAGCAAGAAGACACCGCATGTCTCCATTCCCATTGACATCTATGGACAAGGCCTTCATCACAGTCCTGGAGATGACCCCAGTGCTTGGAACAGAAATCATCAATTACAGAGGTACTTTACATATAGCTGGATTCTTTGTGAGAATTAGAGTGGTTATTTTCTTTTCTCACAGCCAGCATAAGCCTTGCTCTTTTAATAGTTGTTGTGAAATGTCTCAGACGTACATAAACACATCTGCTCATAGGATGTGGAATATGCAACAAAGCAAAAACCTAAAATGCACAGCTTGCCTCATGAGTTTGATTGGACATGTGTAGATGCTGCCTGGTTCCATTTTGTATTATAATCAATCACTAAGTTCCCTCACTGTGGGGGACTCTTGCTTCACCCCATTTTAATCTGAAATTAATGTTTCAATCAAAGTTATTACTGATTCTAGATCACTTTGTTCCCTATCTATGGAATGGAATAGATGACTCTAGAACATTTCTCAGACTTTTAATTCTTTGCACATTGAAGCTTTTGGTCCTGTTATTCCATGGATCCTCATTTCTTAATTTTTCCTCTGAGTTTCTTGCAAAAGATTATTTGCATAGCAAGTAATGCAAGGAATTTTGGTCTCATAGTTTAACACTGCTGCCATGCAATACCATGCCCTCTATTGCTGCAAATATACAGTTGGAAGTCTGCTGCCTTGAAAGGCAGAAAGTTGAATATGTTTCTCTGGTCTTTATTACTTGTGAACTAAGTGGCCATTTTGATAGCATTGCTTTTTCATATCATACTGACATGCTAGCAGGACAAAACTTATGAAATGGTAACAAACCCTTGACCTCTAGTACACTTCCTCTCTCGCTACTTTAGTCCTATACCAGTACCCTGAGAGATCAAAATTCTTCACAGAACTATACCAGTTTCACCAGCTGAGCTCAAGAAAAGGTAATACTCACATTTGAAAAGGGAGTTTCATGCAATTCTCCCCTTCAAGTTCGAATCAAAAACCTATAAGCATAGGAAGGAGAGACTAAAATATTTAACATCTTTTTTTGAATTACAATTAATCAAAAAAGTTAAATTGTATGCTTTTAAATTAATCAAAAAAGACAGTAAATGTTTCAGATTGTTCTTTAATTGCTGATTTGCTTCACTTTAAATACCTAAGGCTTCAGCATCTCTTACTTTTGTTTTGCCTTATTGAAATTCATTCCAGCTACTGGCTAGCCATTTGTTCACTTTGAATATTGCGTGGCAGAATGCCAGGAACATACTGTCCAACTTTGCTCTAATTGGTGTGATTTTGCATGCAGACAAGAATTAAAATGAAGACACAACATGCCTGCTAAAATTAGAAGCATCAATTTTATGTGAGATTTAGTGTGTCTATGAACTGAGGGTGTTCTTGCTATCCCTTTGAAAGCTGGCTTTTCTGTGCTATAATTAAAATGTCTGTGGCTACATTCTTTTTTTCAGTGCAAGTATTCAAGCTTTCAGTGAGCCTTCTGATAACGTCTCTCTTGTCTTACCACATGACAATGTTAATAGCCATCACAAGGATGGTTTTCTAGTTGCTTTAAAAAGGTTTTACTAGCATTTTCATGGTTATACCTATGACAAAATGCAGCATAAATATTTGTTCCAAATTAAAATTTGATACATTTGGATGTAAGTACATTGATGTTATAGTAGTTATAATTAATTACTAGCTAAATTATATTGTGTTCATCAGTAAAGTATAGTTTCCCTTAGGGTGCCACTTAAGTGAAGCTGAACATTTTCAAATCCCCCAGCTGCTGTTTTTATCAGAACTTGTGCACTTAGTGTGCACAGCTAAGTCTTCTGCCAGTATATCTCTCAGTATATCAAGAATCACTTATGTTTGCCTGTCTATCTGTAAATCAAAAAACATCTTATATATAGCTGTCTTTTTTGGCATGTCTGTTTTTGGCATGTTCATCATCTATAAAACACATATCCACACAAATTCTCCTAACATTATTACCAATGCATACCTTCATTCCTTCATTCCTTTTCCTGGATGTAGCACCTTCCTATGCCACAACACACCTTAAAAGCGGGGGCATTCCAGTGAGCTTCCCATTTTCTCCGTAGACATGCTGGAAACAAGCTGCCCTCAGTAGCTCCTCATTTCCCTTCTCCTAGTCCATCTAGTTAGGCACGTAATAAATGTTCTTCCTCACGGTCCCGCTACCTGGAGGGATGAGGTACATAATTTCCACTTTGTTCCACATCATAAGAAGACAAAAGGAAGCTCTTGCTGGTCCTGTAAAAGCAGGCTTGAGGGTGAAGTTACTCAGGTCAGTCTCTACAGGGAAGCAGAGCCAAGTTGCATATCACAGTTGCAGCTGCCAAGTGAATGGAAAGAATATGTTTGAAATAGCTGTGAAAATATTTAAATTTTTTACAGTGTGAATTTACATAAACAAGGCTGACGTTTATGTTCACCACCTCTCCACTGAACAAAATTGTTGTCGTCATTTAAGCAAAGCTAGCCTATTGCAAAACTTCTGTGTTAATTTATGGAGTCATGTCCATCGTTGTTTATGTCCTCTGGGCTCAGTCCATCAACTTTCATCTTTTCACACAAAATTCACTTTTTGAATGTTATTTTAGAAGATCTTTAGAAATCAAAACCTTTTTTTAAAAGTTCAAAAGCACAAAAAAGCGTCCGTGTATTTTTGAGGGGTTTCAGGATATGGAAATACTGTTCCGTCTGACGCTACTACCTCTGAGTTTAGATACTTGGCATTCTACTCAACTGCAAGCAGAAACACAAACTCACTGATAAAATCTTTCATCTGTACTTTCAGACTGCAGTCTTTGTTTGGTTTTTATACTGGTTCTGACAAAAATCAAAAACCTGAGCAATCTATTCTTGAGATGTATGAGTACATGGTGTATTTTGTCTGTCAGATTGCATTGCTGACATTTTTCTCCCTTTCACTAGCTTTACTGACATGAAGCATGGTCTTTTCTCTTTTTCCCTTTATAGATGGAATGGGCCGAGTCCTTGCTCAAGATGTATATGCAAAAGATAACCTACCCCCATTTCCAGCATCAGTAAAAGATGGCTATGCTGTCAGAGGTAAGCACACTTTGTAGATATGCAGTGTCTGTAAAACCACGTTCTAGCATATTATTAGTTCACTTTGATGTTCCATGAGCGAGAAGTACTTGTATTTTGGATCCAGCTGCGACTATTATGCCTCAGATTTGATTCACATCATTGCTGAAGTCACTGTCTTGAAAGAAATACGTCTTTACTGTCTTGAAGGAAGACAGTAAAGTTTAATTAAAATCTTTTAAATGGACTTGTGTGTCTGTGTGTGCAAATGTGCTCATAGACATGCACCTGAGCTACAATGGCATTTCATAGAAACAGAAAGAATTCAGAGGACTAACATGAGAATATCTGCCTCTGAGTGACCGTTTCTTATTCTATTTTTCTGTTGTTAATGTAATCAGAAATTTCCTATATCTGTTACTTGGTTGAGCTGTCACAGTTTCAGCTTCCTATTTGTGAATTATTTTATGATTGTATTACATCATTTTTGAAAATACATGTGAGACTGTATTCTTATGAAGGCATCTGAAAAAAAAAATGATACTTTAAAAATATTTCAGTTGCTGTTTCTAAATAAGTAGTGTGGCTATAAGGAGGGAGCAGTGAGCTGTTCCCAGAAGACCTGAATCCATCCTCTGTTTTGCCACTAGATGCTGCATGATTTTGAGTAAGATGCTTCTCAGTTCATCAGTTTTTTTCATTTGTAGAATAGGATTAATGATATTTACTGCAGATACCTGTGGAGGAAAAGCAATATATAAGAATAACCTTATTACTAGTAGTGATGTCATTATGGTAGAAGTTGCATCATCCTAACACAGTGCTGAAATTTGGAGCATGATAGCCAAATTTCTCTTAGGGACATTAAAGTGTCATTTTTGTTACTAGCAGCCAAAACAATGGAAAGCAACTTGCCATCAAGTAGATGGTCCGCAAGCCCAGGCAATGGAAATAGACCAATAGGCTCCCTGTGGACTTGATGTATAAATAAAATTGCATATCTGCAAGATGAGGCTGACTGCAGCTGTCCATCATTTATGTGTGTGAGAGAGAGGTGCACTAAAATGCCTAGTAAGAGCAGCAAAGGCGTGCAGACCTAGCCAGAAAAATATGTGCAATATAATGCTGAGATGAGCTGGGGAGCTTTGAATAGAAAGCTGTCTGAAAAGGGCTTTGGGGACAGGAGAATGGTCTCCTGCAACGTGATTCATGTAAATGAAATCAAAAGTGCACTCTTAGTCAAGAGGCAGCATTGCTTCAGCATAGTAATGAACTCCATCATCAACCCCTTACAGAACCAACCTGCAAGAACCAGTTTGGGGATTGGATTCAAATAGACAACTTCAAACAATAGTGCTGTTGTTGTTCTTGTAGCTCTGTTATCTCAGGATGTAAGAGGCAAAGTTTGCAGTGAGAGATAATTTCATTTATATTAGCTGATATTAAATAGAATTTTTAAAGGATTAGCTTTCAGTCACATAAACTTGTCTGCCCCAAACCTTGTCTTCTTCTCTGAGCTCTCTCTTTTGCTTTAACAAAAAATATAAATCACTCGTAAATGTTAACTCCATGTTGTTACTACCAAATAAGTAAAATCTAATTTGGTAGCATTTTATCAGATATAAAATAATTTAACTGTTTGGAATTTCTTTTATCTTCTTTTGCTGGATCCTGGATATCATGGATATCATGGGCATTAGGATGAAGGCTATCACTGATTACAAGTCATCTCTGGGAAAACAACATCTGTAAAGTGAATAAAAACACATATTTGAATGTGATAGCGTGTCTGAACACAGTTTGTCTGAGCAGTCCTGACAACTTGCTTGCTGTGCTTGGCCATATGTAGTCAGCAGCAGAGCAGCAGATGTACAGATGTTGAGATGTCTGTACACCATGGGAGATCCCACAATAACGACAAGTCTGATTTTAAGGATGACCATCAAAAGATATCAAGTTGTAGGCAGGGAATTCAAAGGCATCATTTGTGGTTCCTTCCATTTAGGCAAGGAAGCAAATTCCTGTGAAACAAACCTTTCTATTTGCATGCAGAAAAGGCAAAGGGCATACAGGCAGAGTGATTTTTTTCGTTACAAAACTTCTCCTTTTTTAAAGAGAATTTCTACCCAGGGGAAAATGTAGTTTAGTTTTGATATTGTAATGTTTTTATATGGTTCTGCATATTTAACAAAACAAACAATCATTGAAACAGAAAAATCAGATGCATAAAACTGAGTGAATAGTACTGTGTAATCCTACTGTCTTATGAAACTCTGAAATGTTTGTCTTGAGCAAATGGAAAGAAATTGTCTGATTAAAGTAAGTCCCACATAGAATGGCGAGGTAGTAATCATACTAGAAACTTTCTTCGGATCTGAAATGATAAGGCATATATGGAAATAATAATTGACTTGAAGTCAATTATTTCCTTCATTTTTAAGGAAAAGGAAAACAACTCTTTTTCTATAATGCTTTGATTCTAGTTTGGGGATCTTTAAGAAAAATAGCACTAGTATAACATGGAGTAAAACCTGTGGAATGGGCAGTAGTGACATTTTTAATTCCTAAAGCTGCTCAGATAACATGAAGGGGAAGCTTAAACATCCATAGTAGTGATGACCTTGTTTTCCCTGTGAAAATAGGTACAGATTTGGATAAATTAGAAGTCCTAGAGAATTTCTGTTAAATCAATCTCGTCTGAATTTTCTTACTATCTCATTTATTTTAGTTCAGCCTATTTATCATCTTTACCATTTGTACTGTCACATTACAGCTGCTGATGGCCCAGGAGATCGTTTCATCATAGGGGAATCCCAGGCCGGTGAGCAGGTGAGTGCAAACTCTTTTGTTCTTGCTTTTTAATGTTTTTTTGTTGTTGTAAGAAATGGCTTTTTTGTTTTTATAAGCCTTTTCTTGTGTTCCAATACCCTGTTATTCTTGAAGATGGCTTGAAGTAGGGCACAGCTGTATCTAGCCTCCTTCTGAGTGCCTTGGGATGTGATTTCAAAAGGTGAGGTAGTGTGGTTACATAAGGAACTAGCAAATCCCCAAATACTTCCAAGCTGGTATGTCCTATAGGTTTGCAGACAGTAGTGGTCTGCCCTAGCTCAGTGTTAGAGGACACAAGGTTTCTGCTCGCATCACAACTTATATGGAGAAAAACAAGAATTTAAACACTTTGCTGACAAATTTAAACAGGAGCATCAACCCAGCAACTGTTTGCACAAACTGCTCACACTGATACCTGCAAACCAAAATGTGGGAATTCTGTAAGTCTTTGAAGATAAATAATGATTAGAGGTCTTGAGAAAACCTGACACCAGTTTGCAGATAATTTTGAGCTGTCTTTTCCTGCTTAGTATTGCTCTTTTCTGTTCCTTAAATGATAAGTGTGTTTGCGTACCCCTACAAACACGTGGATTAAGATTAACAATAAATTGGGCAGCATGCATCCACGACCGGTTGGTGCCATATAAAGCACTTTCTTCTGCTTTGCTGTCAAACTCAAGTCTACATTTGGTTAAATTCCCGTACAGATATGGAGGTGACAGAGAAAAATCGGTAACCTACAGTCAGTTTGTGTTGTTCTGTCCACTGAATATACTAGCAACTTAATCATACCTGCTACCTCCTGTTTAGGAGAGCATGAGATAATCCAGAATGTTTCTTTACAATATGTAAATTGGAAATTTTCAATTTGTAATCAAACCCCAATTTGCAATTCTATCCAGAGCTGTTCTATGCAAAATCTTGCACAAATGGAGTAACTTGAAGGCAAAAGAACAGATTGATCTATTTTAGCAGGGATTGTATAGGGTGGCCACTTTGACTGCTAACCACAAAAGCCTCAAGTGAAACAGATGCATTTCAGAAGTTGTTTTAGGTTTCTAGAAGTACTACCAGTAGCAATATTGTTCCTTTTTTTTTTTTTTACCTGGAGTTGAACTGCCTCTAAAACTTTAATGGGCATTTGACTTGGCTAATCAGAGTAGACTCTGAGAAACATTAAATAATTTTTGCTGTAGCTACCATTCACTTTCATGAATTGTACTTCTGTGGCATAGATATTTTCTCAATATTAATGTTCATGTGAATTGAGATGAATGAATCTAATATCCAAAACATGTAAAAATATCTTTTAATAATTAAAAATTTTAAACTAATCAATTCAGCCTTGGATTCTTTAGTCTTTTGGGCAATATTTTCAAACTTTAGTCCAGACTCCAGATGGTGACCCACAGATATGAGCGTCCCGATCAGTTAGAAGGTTTGTAGGAATGATAGAAGTGCAAATGGGAGATCACTATTCTGCTAGAGAACTCAAGAGCACTCTTCATGGACAGAATATTAGGAATGAAAAACCTCTCTGACAAGAAACAGATACTGGAGGGATAGAGTGAGAAGAATTACCTTTATGCTTCTGGAAATACGAGTGGCAAGTATGAAAAATTAGGCTGTCGACCTCTACATAATTGATCAAAGGTCCTTTCTCAGGCCAACACATCTTTGTGTTCATCTCCTGCCCAAGAAATGATTTATAGCTTTAGAAGTCTCCTCAGGCTCATTTCACCCTTCAGTCACTCTCAACAGCAACATACAGCTTTTCGCATTACAGACCAATTAACTGAATGATTCACAGCAGGTAGCTGAAGATAGGTTTAGATTTGGTTCATCCTGTAGTGAAAAAGGACCTTATTTAACTACTGCTAACAGAGGAACAAAATGGGACTGAGAATTACAAAAGGTATATAACCAAGTTGGACATTTCTGTATCAATTTTTAAATTATATATTATTTTCAGATTGCTATTTTCAGATCATTGTGTTTGTGTTCACAGCCACTTTTTACTCTGAATTGCCACTTCTTGCTCTGCATTGAAGAAAACTTTCAGGCACTAACCTGCTTTGGAGAGGTTAGGACACGTCTAAGAGCGCTAGTCAAGGGCCATCAACACTGGCTATCAAAAACTGACCTACCTGGGGCAATGATTTTCTTCATACAAACTTGCATTAGTTGAGGCTTAGAATTTCCTGGAAGATTTTTTTTAGAGAGGCTCTCGTGATTAACCAGCTGCAGTATGGGGTGAATACAGTCACCCTTCTGATACCTTGGGCCATTTTACAGAAAGGAGCTTGCATGTGTCATTACAAGCCATAATCCTGTAGCCTGACTCATAGGTGAAGGAGAGGACTCCTACAATGGGGGATGTGGTTTATGGAATATTTCTGCTCTTTATTGATTAACTAAAATAAAATACATCATTGGTGGTGAAGTCAAAGCATAGAACCCCAAACTGCCATAATACAGGTACATAAGAGATCTTAAAGCAAGCCCTTTAAAAAAACTTCTATGCAATAGTTGTATATTGGTATGCTTTCTGAGAAGCAATTGTTTGTTTTTCCTTGCTAGTCTCTAGCCTAGAAGATAGCAGTCATGCAAATTTATACACAGATCTGATGGTATCATTTGTTCAGAAAGTTTATCTGATCAGTTTATTACAGAACAAAAAGGAAATTAAGTATATAAACAACACAACTAAGTCTAAAAACAAAAGATATATCATAATTTTCTTTAAATGCTTTACATCATTACACCTTAAAAACTGGCATATAGTAATAAATTACAAAAGCACAGACATTTACAGCACATGTTATCATCATAGGCACTGACTTCTGTCAGAGTCCTAGACTTGATATATTCCTTGTAGAATAAAGAGACCTTTTTGGCTCCTGAGACCAAAAAAACTGCATTCTAAATGGAGAAAATTTTAATAGCATACATCTGTCCTTTAAAACTTGCTGCTTGCTGCATGAATTCTTTAGTAAAATTGAAACAATATTGTTTATTTTAAGTGGATACCTGTCCACAGCAACATGCAAAATAGATCTCATAATCCAAGGCATAAGCTTTGCCTTTTGCACCATTTATTTTTATAAAAATCAGGCAAAACAAAATAACACACCAAACCAGGTTATTTTCACTTACCTTTTAAGTATCTTCAGTATAAATGGCTGCATCTCAGCAATTCATCTGAAGCTCCTTGCACAGCCTGTGGTTAGAAATAGATGCTTCTAAAACATGTTTTTTGTCTGATCTGTGTTAGATAACTTCTTTAGGATAACATGAGTCCTGCCTTGAAAGCACATTAGCCATGACATGTCGCAACTGTGATTTTTTTTTAGCTCCTTTTAACATTTAATGCATGCTCTTCTCAAAAGGTGTTAAATTTCTTTCACCCTTAGAGAAGGGCCAACGTGAAATCAAGGCTTAGCTCTCTCTTCAAATACAGGGGTCACTGTGAGGGGTGACCAGTGAGGGTCAAAACATTCCCAGCCTCTCCCTAGTGCCCTTGTCCCAGTGAGCTGAGTACCTCAGCTTTGGAAACACACACATTCCCAAGAAGTCTTCACATTTCAGAGGTTACTGATATAGAAAAAAGGGCAAAATAAAGCCAGCTTTGCCCAGTTTGAGCTATGGCCAGTGACCTAGGGTTTACAGATGTCCAGCCTCCTGTCAAAGGTAACAGAGGAACCAACTGCGGTGTGAGAACATTGGATCTTAATAGTGCTCAGGCAGTATTTCTTCCAAGTCTGTTGGTTCCTATTAGATACATGCTGACCATAATGTGAGAAGTCCTGGCCCTATGCAGATGCTGCATATTACTGTTGATCTGCAGACGAATTATATATGTGGCATGTGCAGGATGTGTTGAACTGAACACAGAGAGCTGTGTGGGCAGTGTATAGCACGTGCACACTACCAACCCCAAACACACTGCACTTACGTGCTGCACAGAGAAGGCAACTACCTTCTAGCAAGAAAATCAGCCTTATACCAGCCTCTTGCTAGTTGCATTTTATTAGAAATGATTGGGTTATTTTTAGTTAGTTATCAAATGGTTATGATCAATTTACAGTTTTACTCTGTTAGCAGTTTTGAAAATGTATATTATAATATGCTGCCGGGCATGAAATCTTAATAAAATCATGTTGTTTGTCATGTTCTGCTATTTTCCTGTGTTTTGTACTGTATCTGCTGAAACTCCAACATGTGTGGTGACATTAAATGTAGCACGTCATACCTTTTAGGCTTTGTTACACAGATCCTCACAAAGATTGCTGTTCTGTGTGAACCTTGGCTTTGCTGTGGAGCTGTTGCATAGTACAAAGAAACCTGTTTAAAAATGAAGCAGCTAGTTATGTTACCTTGCTTAAAATCTTTTTTTTTTTTAATATACAGTGCAGTGCTAGTGAACTAGAACAGAAAACCAGCCAGACCAAAACAAAGTTCAACCCTGGGGAACAGTATACACTACATGAAAAGTATTTATGTACAGAGATGCAGCACAAGATTTTTGCTCATGTAAACATCTCCAGAGTCTCCAGCTCAGAGTTTCCTCTGACAGTTCTTTTCCTGAGCCAAGCAGAGTATCAGTGCATTGCTCCTTCTGAAAGCTATTCCTGTGATATGAATCTACTTAATGGGGAAAGTATTAAGCCATGTGACCTAACAAGCAATCACCCAAGCCTAATCATACCTAATTACAGCCTAATTGCAACTGCAGATATCACTAGCAGTATATCAAGAGTCATGGCGTACAGAAGAATCTTAATCTTTCAAATTGCTTCTGCAATGTTCAGATGACTGGAGATTTTTCTTCTTAAAAGTAAATTCGTTTTTGTTTTATTTTTCAGCCAACTCAGACTGTGATGCCTGGTCAGGTAATGCGAGTTACAACAGGTGCTCCAATTCCATGCGGTGCTGATGCAGTGGTGCAAGTGGAGGATACAGAACTCATCAGGGAATCAGATGATGTGAGTGACTAGTTAAGATTCCTTGTGCTTTTGTGTGCAGTAGCATGTGGCTCATGGTACAATCCCATCAGTATGAATCAATATGTATTTTCCTACAGAAATGGTGATCTCAGAAGTTTGAGGATGTTCACATCTGCTCCTAGTTTCAATACTACCACTTCTCAGGCTAAAGTGCTTGTACCACAGAACTTCCTGTGCTTTTCTCATCTCAGTGGCTGAATACCTTCAGGAAACTCTTTAGGGACACAGTGGTTTTTCAGGGTTTTTTGAGGGGGGTTGTTTCAAATTGTCCAGTACATCTTTGGAGAAGTAATACTGGAAAGATCCTTTATGCTTGTAATTCAAAGCAAGGGGATTTCCTAACAACCTGTTGCCATTAGCAGTTGGGTGACTGAATGGCGACACATGTTGTTGCAAAGTCTATCTCTGCACTGCATTTGGAGGATTTGTGAGAATGTATCTTGTACATGAATCTTGTTATAAACATATATATATTCAGAATCAGTGCTTTTATTGCATAACTGTTGTTATATTGTGTAACAAGGGAAGTGAGTATCCCCAGAATTTTTTAAGTCATAACTTTGTCCAACAGACTTGTGTGCTCCTTTAGAATGAGAAAATTACTGAATTTAAAAGCTCTGAAAATCGGGAAATTGATAAGGTGCATACTCCCCTAAAATACAGCCTTAACTCTGTATTTGAACGGTTTTTCCAAGATACTTGTAAATCTTATTAGCAGTCTACCTTGCAGTTAATGGGGAATACTACAGAAAAATATATGTAATACATGTAGTACTGACTGTATACACATTGTCTTAGTGAAGCAAAATGTGGGGTTTTTTGTTTTGCTTTGTTTTGATGAAGCACAGGAGCCATTTATAGACAGCTGTATCCCAAAGAGGCCATCCCAGACTTTCTAAGCATTGTCCTCTCTTTACTCCTGTTCAGACATACATCATAATCTGTTATTTCCTACTGCTTCTCTGGGTGACTGTCTTCCTGTTTTCCACTTCTGGTGTCCATGTTCTCCTCTGCATCTGAGAACACGTTATTTTGCTATGTACTTTAAACTCTAAATTTCTTGGCCTCTGCCTTCCATAGCATCCTGCCAAAGTATAGTTAGTTCAGTCTAGTTAGCTTGTTTTTAATGCCTCATTGACCATATATTTCAGGAATGTTTTTGTGTTAAGAACTTCTCCAAGACCGGGATTTAACTGAGATGAACTCTCTGACATCTAAAATATGTTCTTCTGAAAGCACAAAGAGTGCCTTTTAAAAGGAGCTCCTTGACCTCTAGTTGTGGTAGCAGTACTTGAGCATCATAGCAGTGATTCCTCATTTGACTCCAGAACTCACATTCTGCCAGGTCTGAAAGGACCAGTCAGCAGAGAGGGTAATTGTCATCAGCTTGCTAATGCACAACCACTGAGAAACCAATCTTTGGAAGAGCTCTTCTGCACCCTTTTTATTGTGAGTTTTTATGTCAGTGTGTAGGATAAACCCATGTGATCAATCAGAATAAGAACAAAAGATAGATACTACATCAAGATCGAGCTTCGATATGTCAATGCAAATGCTGACTGACAACCATCAGAGTAAACCACTCTACCATAGTTGAAAATATGTCAATGCAAAGCAAAAATGCTTCCCAATATACAACAAATGGAAGATGTTACCAGAATAATGCTGTATCTCCCTGTAAACCCTCCTTCTAACCACCATGAATTATTTGTCATTCCAAGAGCATTTGGGGATATCCACTAATTCCATAAATAACAACCTGTCAAATTAATGCTCTTTTCAAACCGCCATCTCTGAAATTGTTCAAGTAGATCAGATTGAGATTAGGAGAAAGAATCCTTTTGGTATACCAGGTCAACATACAAACACAGAAAAGATACATAAACACAGGCATCATATAAAAGGAAAGTAAAACTATTTATTCAGTACTGCTCCTTCACTTGCAACCTCCTCAAAGAAATCATTCTTACAACCTTCTTTAGTCTTTGCACACACAGCCTGTTACAGTCCTGAGGCACAAATGAGGAGCACAGTGCTGAGGGTCGAACTGTACCGCTGCAGCATGATGAGTCCTGTGAGCTGTGTAGGTTTTGGAGAAATGAACTCAGATTAATATTGTTTGAATAACCCAGCTGACTTCACCTGCTCTTCTTGTTTCTGCAGGGCACTGAAGAACTAGAAGTTCGAATCCTGGTGCAGGCCCGACCAGGCCAAGATATCAGGTCTGTAAACAGCCTATTTTATAAACAGTTAAATATATCTGTAAGGAATAGAAAAACTGGTGAATTTTTTTAATCACAGAATCATTATGTTTGGAAGAGACCTCTACAGATGATCTAGTCCATCCCCCCTGCTCCAGCAGGGACACCTAGAGCACGTGGCACAGGGTGGCATCCAGATGGGTTTTATATTATTTGACCAAAAATAATACTGAACTTTTGACAATCTGACTAACAAACCTGCTCACATATTCCTCACCTTGAGTCAGATCAGTCAAGGAAAAGTACTTTCAATCTCATTCTGTTTTTCTTTCCTTTTTTTCTGTACTATGGTTTTCAGACCTATAGGACATGACATTAAAAGAGGCGAATGTGTGCTGGCTAAAGGAACCCACATGGGTCCGTCCGAGATTGGCCTCTTAGCAACTGTTGGAGTAACAGAAGTAGAAGTTAACAAGTTTCCAGTGGTCGCAGTCATGTCAACAGGGAACGAGGTAAGAAAAATACCTTTAGAATCAAGGTGTGAATGACAGTTTCTTCTGCCGGACAGGAATAGTGTTTTGAACAGGGAGTTCAACCCCGTTTCCAGGTAGATTGGCCAATTGCTGATGAGCTTATGATGACATGAGGTTTTTCTGACAATGATCAGCCCATAATCAAGTTACTGCATTTACTTCTTCACAGAATTATTGATCCTTCTCTCTCATGTCTCACACATTTTATTTGCCAAAATTTTGATAATGTATCCAACCTTGTGCCAGCTGTTTTCTCCCTGCCAGCATAAAGCAGAACCTGTTGGGGAGTCATTACTGAAATGAAATCAATCTGCCAGTCATTACTGAAAGAATAATTCCTCTTGAACAGCAGTCCTCCTTAGCTGTTCTGCAATGGGGAATTATCTGCAAATACATTTGCAAATGCTGTGCTGTAGTACTCTGTGCCTTCCTGGAATCTTATATGCAACTTGTCATCAGTACCAACAGAACTTCTCTTGAGATATCACACCTGATTATGCCTTTGTGAAGGCATAAACATTTTATAAGAAACATCTTATATTTTAATACTATAAGCCCTAATTAGCATGTTTAAGATAACACAAACAGAAATTTTGGTTGTGCATGTTGAAATCCAGACAATCACCTATTGCTGGAACTGCATACCAGCATCCTATTCCTCTTTGGAAACACATGTCTTATTAATTTAATATGTCTTAATTAATTTAGATTTACAGAATCACTTTACACGAGAGATATCTAAGAATGTTATATCCAGTCTGAAGAATAACATTTTCACCTGTGTAAAGACACAGTACTCTGAAGAGACTGACTGATAATATGCCTGCTTTTATAGCTTCTGAATCCTGAGGATGACCTCTTACCAGGAAAGATTCGAGATAGTAATCGTTCAACTCTCCTAGCTACAATCCAAGAACATGGCTATCCAACAATCAACTTGGGAATTGTGGGAGATAAGTAAGTACCACATGTTAGTAAAGATGTCATTTAATGTTCATGCAGTGCACTTAATGGCATCTATGGAACAAAAGACCAGAGAAACTGTCCTTTGTTGCAAGTAACAGTGTTATGACAGAGCACGTTTTGGAGAAAAAAATACCTTTTTTCTTAGAGAATTAAATAAGTCTGTTCTAATATTAAGGAATCATTTGAGAAGTTTATTTTTATTGACTGTTGTTTATCTAGTTTTGTGTTCTGTTTATTGAAACCAATGCGGATTAAATTATACTGCTGCAGCATCATCACAAACATCTAATATCTATAAGGACCCTCCTATGAGGGGACATTTCTAAAAGAACAGTACTTTTTTTTTTCTGATCCAATAAAGGGGGAAGGAAAGTTTCCTTTAGAGTTTATTCTCCTTACTAAAATTAGAGTATAAAATTTTGTCAGATTGCAAATCATCATCTTTTGGGGAAGGCCTCATTGTTGGATGTTGCTGACCATTTCCAGATGTATGTCAAAGTATTTAAAAGAATCACTTTTTTTCTTTTCCTTTACTAATCTCTGGATTGATTGCTGCAAAGCAGAACCCTGTAATCAGTCTTTCTGTTCATCTGACAGTGATTGCTCCTTGTTTCCCCCTGGTAGTAAAGCCACATCTCCTGTTGAGATTCTCTTCGATAAATGATTGAAGTGTTTAGTCTTTTATCCTTTGCAAGACTGTGCAATTCCAGTCATCAGGGGTTTGAGTTTCTCAGCATTAGATTTCTCCTCAAATTACTGAGCCTCAAAGTCTTTGAACTGTCTTTCTTGTTTCTCATTTGGGGTACCAGACCATCTGACAGACTTCAAGGAGTTCACCTTCACCTATCCAAGCAGCAGGGTATTGCTTGTGGCTAGGTAGAAGTAAAGCCGGACAAGAAGGAAGAAATAAGGAAAGATTCTCTTTTAGCACCCATATTTCACATTGGTTGATAGTCTTAAGTAAATAACAAAGTGTCATCACCAAAGTGTCTGTTTGCACATATTAAAGCCCCAGACTTTTGAAGAATTTAGATATTGTTAGATTATAAATAAAGAAGTCTCACAAGACTTGTCAGAGGCAGACTTGGAACTCTTTTTCAGTGTTGGTGTCAAAATATTTTCTAAACTTTTTAACTCCATCACTCTCATATCTAAGACTGCTCTCAAGCATTTTTCCATATGGAAAAGATGCACAGAATGTCACAGTGATCTTGCCATAGCAAAAAGGCACCACATGTCACATGATGAGATTATAGCAATCAAAGTTTTATCTCATGTCCTTCTCAGTTACCCAAGTTAAGGTGCTTGGAGTAATTCACAGTGTTATGAAGGAAGGGACACACAAGGAGCCATAATGATTCTTCTGCTCAGCAAGAGGATAATCATCTCTGTAACAGGTACAGATATAATGTGAATGCAGAGAGACACATTTCTCAGTATTAAGAAGGACCTCTTTTTTTTTTAATTTAGAAAGTGACTCTTTCTGTGGTGTGTTTTAGGCTGACATGGAGTGGTCTCGACCAGTAGTTATAGCACAGTATACACCAAAACATATGATTACTAACTAGGGTCTCTAGGAATCACGACAGAATTCCCATGCAGAGGAACATGGCTAGTGCTAGGAACAACTCATCAGTCATTTCAAAACCATTCTTTTCTAATGGAGGATCTGATGCAAAAACATGGCTAGCTTGGCAGAAAGGATATGAATTGGCCAATGGTTTTGCAGAACTTGAAACAAATTGAATTATGGCTGCTGGAGATACAGCTGCAGTCAAAGTATTCATATATGAAATGTGACACAGCAACCATAGTGGATCTTAGGGGAAGGAACCCTTTTGGATGCTCTCATTGCATTCATGGGCACAGTGTGTCTGTGCAGATAATTAATCTCAAAAGCTCTCAGAAATAGATAGCTTTAATGAGATATAAATGAATTCTTTAACTTTTCTGGCACAAATATGTCTTTTTTTACTTGTTGGTTGCTGTCAGAAAAACAGACTAGAAATACATGCATCACTCAAAGGTAGACAAGTGTTTGCAGCTTTGATTGAAGTTACAAAAAGATTGTCTTGAGAGACTGTCTTAGCGAAGGTGATAGGAGATCTTTCTTAAACTTTTTCATGCTTGAGAAGTTATTTTTGCAGAGGTGCTTACTTCAGCTTGCAAATTAGAGTGAGTCTCCAATTCTATAGTGATTTTTACACTTTGCAATAAGTTTTAAAAGAATAATGTGGTACTGTCCCAGACACAGGAATTCTGTCTCAACAGGGCTTCTGGCATTCTTCTCCCATTCATGTACCCACCTTTGGTATTTACAGCCAAATAAATCTGCATTTTTGTATTGATTATAAGGGAAATCTGAGTAGGCAAATTAATTTGATGAAAAGTATGATATTATTTCCTTATGTAATAATTAGTGAGCATATGTTGCCCTTACGGATATTTCAGTACGTATCCTTCTGCCTAAAATGACTGTTGTGATGGAGTGCCCTGGCATTTGATCACAGGTCTTACCAGAGAGACCTTAAGTAGAGCACAGATTTAAAGTTTTAGTTAACATGTTTATAGAAGAGGTAAGCAAACCCTCAGTGTCTGTTAAATGGTTTACTTGGGTTAAACCATAGATTATGCATCTTTGTGTGTGCTTATGTGTATGTGCAGTTTTGTTTGTATTTGTAATATGTGTACAGGTAGTGAAAAAAAAGAGAGATTTTATATGCCTGCAATACTTGTGCATGTAGTAGAAATGCTAGCAAAGGATACTTTTTAGAAGCTTCAAAAGCTTGTCATTGTTTATTTGAAGACTTCTCTGTGAAATATTTTCCCCTCTCCCATATTTTACATTTTAGAGATTGTATTCTTCTTTCTTTTTTTTTTTTTTTCTTACTTTTTGTTTATACATTTTACTTTCAATGATTGTTATCACATATACTGAGAATGTCACTTTCTCTACAAGCTAGAAATTGACTGGTGTTTGAGAAAGTAGTCAATAGGAAGCATAATAGAGTGTAGTTACTTCTGTCATGCATCAAGTTTTTTAAAAAGCATGGAAATTCTGTCAGACACATATAAGGAGCTAAAGCTGAAGTGTGAAATTCTTTGAGTTGTATTCACAAAGACAAAGTTACAGGTAAGTATCCCTGTTTCTCATTTCAGTATATGAATCATGCATATGTAAGAAAGCAGTTTGCCCAGATGAAACAGATTCACAGTGGCAACTGCTGCAAATTTAACAGTTTGTGAGATTGTCATTGTTTATTTCTGTATTCATAAATTGTATATAGGATTCAATATTCAATATTAAAAATATCTACTCCAAAACATATAGATAAATCCTAGTATTAAAATCCTAGAAGTAAGCAACAGAAGAAAAGAACAAACCTAGAAAATGTCATAAAGTGAAATATATCGCTGGCTAAAAGCCGATTTTCTCTATTTGTTTTAGCAGATGAAAAACAAGCACATCTCTGAGGCACAAAGGGTAGATGTTTTTGGAGAATAACTCCAAACACAAAGAAATAATACAAAATCAGAGAAGGAAGGAGTTTTCTACTTTGGTTCTTGCTGTTTTGTCTTGCATCTTTGTCTGAATCACAATCACTTCTTGCTGAAAAGTTACAATTTTTTAATTAACTAGTAGAAACTATGACTTCTTCCTTGTATAGCAAGGTCAAGTAAGAAATGCTTCTTGGTTTAATTCCCTTAGCTTATATTCTGTGGAATTATTTGGTTCTTTGGAAACTATTACTTAAAATAAATAGTTACATCTCTGTTCTCAGTTGTAAACCTCTATTAACTTAATTATCAGGATATCTTCGTCTGTGAATTTCATTTCTGTTGTTCTTTATATCATTGTTTACTAAAGCTGTAAAATTTAGGCCCAGCAAAATGTGTTATAGAAGTGGGCACTTGTTTTAGAAAACCATTTTTAGCTATTTTCCTTCTATTGGAGACTCTTCTATTAGGCTTGCTAATGAGTTTTGATCATATGATGAATTCAGTTCTCTTGTCTGTTTTTTTACCTTTTGTTTTCATGAGTGCATTTACCCCTTCTGTGGTTTCTTTTCCCTGTTGTTCTATTTTCCTTATCATTTTTCACAGACACAGATGTATGACATTAGCTGCTTACAGCTATATTTTTATTTATGAACCTGTGGTTTAACAATGGAGAGAGAAAGAAACTTCTAAATTTTGAGACACTTTAGAAAAATCACATTATCTGCTCAATTACTTTAAATGTTGATCAGAGTAGCTATAAATCCAGCAGCATTCTAACTTTATTTTGCATTGTGTAATAAATCAGTATATGAGAGTATTTTCACCTTAGAAGTGATTATTTTCTCACTTATGTGCCTCTCTCTTATGATACAGTTTGACATAAAGCTCCCAATTGGCAAGTAAACCCATTAAAAATCATGCTTGCTGTTGTGACAACATTATTATATGATATCTCTAAAATAAAGACTTTGTTAGACTTCCTTCATATTTCAGAAGGAATATTAAGACCTTATTCAGGGATTTAGTCTGCTTGGATTTTGTGTTTGCCATCCAAATAGAGGCTTAAATCTTTTGTGGTTGTGTGGGTTGTGTGTAATTATCAGTATTATAAATCCAATGGAACATTTGGAGTGGAGGGTGAATGATGGAGAAACTGTTCTAACTCTGACCTCTTGTGCAATATCAGTTGACGTATATCACATGAGTTATAGGCAGAATTTAGCTACAGAATCTTAGCATCAGTTTAATGTCCAGCTTAGCTATGATCAAATGTATTGTAAAAAATAGTTACACATATCATCTAATAAATTACTGAAAGAAAAGGTCTATTAGAAGAAAGACATGAATTCAAGTACTGCTGTATTAGTTTTTATTAAAAAAAGGCTTCAGTTCTACATCTGCTTAGTGATGGTGTCATAAAGTTTGATCACGGCCTAATGAGTCCAGGTACACCGAGTCTGAAGGTGGTTGAGATACAGAGGTCCTGTCTT